CCTTTGAAAGTGCAGGATCCTCAGCTGCTGGAGGGCTACAAGTCCTGTCCTGAAGCAGCACTGAAGAGGGTAGAGGGCAACTCACCAACTTTGTCCTGCCTCAGCCCCCTCAGTTTTCAGGGGATGCAGCCTAGTATCTTGCCTATCAAAGCCTAAACTCATAACATATCTCTGGGAATTCCTATGTCAAAGCAAAAAGCTACATTCCATACCAAGGCACCAGTTCATATGATCACTACACAGCTGCCATGAACCCAACCAGGACACTGAAGCTAAATCCTCATCCTCAGAAAACAACAACTGACAGATGAGGTTCTGGAAGGCTCCAGATTAATCACAGCTCAGGTTTGCCTGTGAGAACAAGCCATCTCAGTATTTCACCAGGCAAAGCAGGTCCCTGTGGCATTCCTGCCAGCACCTTCCAGTTATTCCTCAATCCTCATTTTGGGGAGAAAGGGACCGACATGGTCACACAGATAAAAAAGCCTGTGGAGCTGGTGATCTGACCACACCATACTCAAAAAACAGTTACACTCAGCACAAAGCACTCCAGGGTCTCCATGTTTAAGACTCTTGGGTGAAGACTGGAAGAGAAAGCTTGATGCTCAATCCCATCCTTACTCTGGTAGACAATGCTGAGAGGGTAATCTTTGACAGAAGCTGTGCCTGGGCTGGCCCACAAACTAATTTAGAGTACATATAAACCTCCAGAAGACAGTTAAGGAAGAGCTTCTGAATGCAGATAGAAATGGCAATTATTAATTTTCTAAATAGAAATCTGACTACTTAAGCCTTATTTAAAAGCATGCCTGTCTCTGTAATTACACAGCCTTAATTTGTTTTCTTTACTACACAATAAATAAGGTGTGCACAATTACCCTCTGCAAATACAAGGCAGTGCCTCCTGACTGGCTGGTTGAGTACCCAGCCGCCCAGGAAAATATTTAGAGGGAAGCAGCCTCTTAAGTACCTGCTTACCAGTAAAGGGGGACTCGGGCACTGCAAATATCAACTTGTCTCGCTCAGCCTGCTGAGAGCTCACCCTCCTTACATGCACAGCTTTACTGTCTCATGACCAGTGAGGGCTGCACACTTTGGCCAGCAGCAAACAGGTCGTGACCCCTCCCGTGCACCAGTTCCTGGTCCACTGTGAAATAGTTCTCCTGTGGACTTCCCAGTTCCTAATGAGGAATTTGCTAAGGCTAAATTCTTACCTACAAGGCACTACAAAAACTTCTCTTTGCTATGCCTCTGCCTATTTTCATGATGCATGTAGGAAGTTGATCTCCTCAGGACTTGTAACCCTCTATCAGGTTCAAATAAATTAGCCAAAGACTTCCACTGTCATTAGAAGAAGGGACAGAGAGTTTGAGAGCATGCAAGACTTTCCTCAATAAGCTGTGCTAAACACAGCAGCATAGTAAATATGTATTCAGATGGTTTATGTCTCAAATTTAGGAACCACACCACACTAAAGTTTTCTTGTACAGCCTCAAGCCAAAAACTGAGGTTTTCTGTCAATACCAAGCATTTTCTATGTTCAGCTGCATTGCCTGCTAACACCAACATCCAGGAATCTGGCTACAAGTCTTCCACAGCCTAGACTTGCTGGTCCTCACATCCAGTGCATACAGTTGTCCAGGACTATTCCTGCAACAGCCAAAGGACTGTCAAAGATGCACAGAAATGGGACCAGAAACCCACCAACACAACTTCTCCCAGTGAGATGATCTGAAGAAATGGCACAAAATAACATTGGAAGATATTCAGTTTACACCAGACCCACATCCAGCCAGTACTTCTTTTGGAAAGACTCAACTCTCTTGGTCCAAGCACCAACAGAAGACATAGATCCATGTTGCAAAATCCACTGTTATATTTCGGATTAATTGCCTTGTAGCAGTGATAGGCTTCACATCATCAACAATCAGACAAGACCATGGAGCCCTAATTGTCCCCATTCAAGGAGAAGGAAGAGGAATCCAAAGCCATTTCTAGATCCAAACTTCTGGCTCCAGGTCACCCACTGCTACTCCAGGGATCAGGTTGACCTCCAGCCCCTTACACTAACACAGCTAATTTCAAACCTTAAAGGACAGGCATGAACCTGCCCAGCTGCACTTTGGAACACTCTGAGGTCTACCACTTGAGCACCTGAATGGTGAAAATCCCCTTCATGGGTATCTCACCTTTCCACCCTGACTCTGTGATGGGGAAGGGGGAAAAAAACCAAGCCAAACTTCATCCAAACCCTCACAAACCTGAGCTCCTGCAATTAAAGCTGGGATAAGTGATCTGCTTGTGATTGCACAGCTGGGGTCTGAAGACAAGCGCGTGCACAGAGGAAGGGCCAGAAATAGATGTTACTGGGAGAAGGCAGAGCTATCTGGCCCATTTGAGAAGAGGAAACCTTGATGAAAGGCACTGGGAAAAAACTTAGTTCAGCAGGAAGTTTGGATTTAACCCAGGATGGGAAGGGAGGGGGGAGGGAAAAAAATCAGCTTTTGAGACCTCAGAATTTGTACACGAGCTTCATGTGAAAAAATGCTCAGACTCAGACTGTAGCACCCTGCAAAGGTCTGGCCCGGGATTCCCACCTCCCTGTGCCAACCCTCACTGGCAGTGAAACCACTTTCTCATTTATTAGACACATTTGCCATCTTATTGACTCAGCTTCACCAGCAACCATCCAAACAGTCATCAAAGGTGAAGGAAAACCAGAGTGGCAGCGATAACGTAGCAGTAGCTAAACAAGCCCTAAACACCATCCCATAGTTCCCAATCCTGCAGGCAGCCCTTCCACAAGGGGATGGGGACAGTATCACTCACTCCTCTCTGCTACTGTACCTGGTTGCAGCAGCCCAAGACTTAGAGCAGAGTGACATTTCCATTAATCCTTTTATCCCTGGTTCTTACGTGCAGCGGCTGCAGAGGATGTCAGGCCTTCCAGGGAGGCAGCACCTGCAGAGCAGCCAAGGAGGCACCTTGATGCACTGGCAGAGAGCTGAGGCCATGAGGGGATCCTGGGTGGCACCAGGCACCTGCCAGGCTGTGTAAAGCCTCAGGAGCCACCCTGGGAAAGGCAACCTGGCTTCAAAGGAGCACTGGCATCGTGGTCTGAGAGCCTCTGGGGAGCAAGAGGGAGTCACCAACCCTGTAAGCACTAAGTTTCCATCCTTGAGTGCGCAGCATCCTCTACAGGGAACATCCACCTTGCAAACACCCATGCTGCCAAGTCCCAGCAACAGCATCAAAACCCACTGGCAAAAGCTAACCAAATAATATACTTACTCGCCTCGAGCTTCAAAAGGCGAGGAAAGAAAGATGTGAAGAATATGATCAATCTTACACGGCCCAAGCAGTAAACAAACACATATTTCATCACCACGTACCAACCCTAACTCTTGACACAAGATGGATGCGGGGTTTTTCCCACTCCCAAAAGTAATTCCAAAAGACAAAAACAAACACTTTGGGAAAAAGCAGCAACAATTGCCTGTGTACACATTAATGACATATTCAGCCTCAAAGCAAGTGTACGGGGCCTTTTAAACTCCTACGACATCCAAACTAATTTCACCAGGAATCAAATGTTATTCATTTTATCTGCGAGATACATAAACAGCAACTACACAATTGACAAACAACATTCCAAAAAAAAAAAAAAAATTTGAGAGTGGTTCAGAGAGAACACTTCCCAGGAACAAACAACCACAGAAAACACAAAAAACCTGCTTCAAATCAAAATTACAAAGGGCAGAAATCAGGAAAATCCCAGTGGTCAGCATTAGCGAGGGTTTATTATGAAAAATATGCAATTCTCTAAACTCAAAAAAGCTCAGTCCACGTTCACAATGCCCTCAACTATTCATGCCCTTTGGTTCTGCAGATCTCCTATTTAGCAAGTACTTTACTGTCACTTAGCAACTGTAAATGGTTTTCCAAAAAGGGAGCTTTTGGGGTTTTTCAGTTCACGTCATCTCTAAGCAGACATCAAAAGACAAATCTATCCTGCTCTGCAGGTCGCATTTATCTCCTTGCCCCAGGAACAAGTCTGTATCGATGGCCCAATGCATCTGCAGACTCAAATGGATGCACTTAAAAAGGGAAGAAGCCACTAGCACTAGTTTCCAAAAAGCAGGGATACACACACTCTCCATCCAGCCCACCAGCTCATGCCCAAGGACGGAGTCTCTCAACAACCCCTTTTCACCTTTTGTATCTACACTGGATAGAGAGGGCTTTGATCTTGGACACAGTTACTTGGACAAGATATTTCAAGCCCATAGAGCACCTTGCAGAGTGGTCTGAAATTCGGGTTTTGATTTTTCACCTTGGGAAAAGTAAATACACATTTAGAAAATACACCAGTGCCCTTGGCGTCAAGGATGTGGAAATTCCCCGTGACACTGTACTTGCTGGTTAATGATGCCCCAGCAGCTGGACACTTGTGCAATGTCCCATGATAACAGGACTCCAGCCTCTCTAGCACAAAACGATCCTACCCCAGGCCCGTTGCAGATGCCAGTTTAAGAAGTCAATAATTAGGAGCAGAGCTGGCAGCCCCTGCACCCCAGGATTTGTATTGGAAAAGCAGCCTTTGGTTAAAAACTAACGAGCGGGGCAGGCTCTGGCTGTGCACCGGGGCTGGCGGCCGCCCCCAAACTCTGCAGAAAGGGAAACGTGCACCAGCCGCTTCAAGGCTGATAATGATGCAAGCACTCGTTAGAGCCGCGATCAAAGCCAGGGCAGTTATCAGAAACCCAAACCCATCAGCTGCCCAGCGGGACCTCACCCCATTCCTGCATCGAAGCCCATTCCACTTCCCTGCACATTCGCTTTTCCATTTCCTGCCCTTTCCCACCTCTCCCTCTCTTTCCCCATCAGCGTTCTGCTTCCCTCTCCTTGCTGTTCCCAAGAGGCACTTTGGGGATCCACTTTGTGAGTTGCCTTTCCATAGGGAACAGAGGGGAAAGGGGACAGGAGCCGCTGGCACTCACATGTAGTGCAGGTGAGGGTTCTTGGCAAAGGCGCGTGGCTGGATGTTTCGTAGTCCTGAGTTCCTGATTGTCCTGCAGAGAGATGCAGAAGGGCAGCAATGGAGTGAAGGCTGACAACTGCTCTAAACCCCTGCTCAGCACCTGAGAGCTCTCGATTCCCCCTCCCACCCCTGGAGGCACATCTGTCCCCAGGCAGCCTCTGTGAGCTACAAGCAAAGAGGAAATTCAGCTTTTTAAACTTCATCTGATATGGTAACAGTACAGTGCAGATCAGCTGTTGGGCAAGGCTCTGCTCCCACATCCACCAGGGCTTGCTGGGGTGGCACAGGCCATCTCCTGCTCCTCTCCCTCCATCTTCACAAGCAACACTGCCACAAGCAAATCTAACCCTTAACAAAGTCATCTCCCCTCTTCATACCCAAGAGAAAACTCTTCTGCTTGCAGCTCTGAAAAGGAAGGGTATTTTACACCGGGAATTTTGGACATTGAAGGGGGAATTCTCTTCACATCCTGTTTTAGAAAAGCTCTCAATATCTGCTGCCACTGCTGTTTTGTTAGGTGAGATGAAAACAGCAGCCAGTCTGCTCACAATGGATCTGTGTGTGAAAAGTACAGCTTGCTGGAGTTTGGTTACTGAGTGCTCAGCCATATACACCTCCTCCAGCCCACATGGGAGCTGTACTTAATGTAAAGCTCCCAGTGAAACACATTATTAGAGTCTCTGATTATCCCCAAGCAACACTCTGCATCTCACACAAGCAGCACCCAGGGCACTCCCAGATCCAGGAGTATGTAGGAGGGGGAATAAAGAGATTGGGTGGTATCCTTGCTTGGCCAGGCTTCCCAAGCATCTGGCAAGTCTCTTCAATCTCATGGACCTCAATTCCCCCTCCATGACACACACAGTTGACCTCTCCCTGTGCTCAGAGAGCTGTGCAGGGAGATGCAATTCCCTTATTGTGCAGCACCACCGTGACGGTAACTGTTCTAAATGAGGACCAACAGCCCAGCAATGAAGGATTGGTGGAGACAGCTGGAATTTCACATTGTGGGGCTGAAATGAGTCAGAACAACACATAAGCCCAGAACCAAAACAGCAGGGGAGGGGAGAGGTCAGGGCTGATGTGTGTTGACAGAGCTGTCAGGAGCTAGCAATCTTCCTTCTCACAGACCCAGCAAAGACCAAAAAGCACTTCATCTCCATTTTGTGGAGTCTCATAGCAAAACTCAGTAGATCCAGCAGCTTAAACTGACAGCGTGGAGACTGCAGATGGAGGGAAGCCACCGCTCTGCTGGAAGGAAGGGGCTGCCCAGGTCAATTCCCCTCCCCGAGGCACAGGACATACTTACAGCCTCTGGAGTCCTGTGTACAGCTCCATGTCAACGGCGTTCAGTGTCTGCAAGTTCTTCCAGTTTTCTATGTGTCTGTGGAGAAGAAGGAAAGACTCAGCTGTGGCACAACCAGATGGTTGCTCTTCCCAGGTAGGGGATGGCACACAGAGGGAGGATATCATGCCCTGCCACCCAGCCCCATTCTGTTTCCCCAGCAGCTTGGAAAAGTCAAATAATGTGGGTTTATCCTCAGTTTCAAGCACAGAATGTGCAACAGAGCCATTGAACATCCTTGCCCAAGTCATTGCCCATCACTGCACACATCATTGAACAAAGACACGATTGAAACGGATTACACAAAATAGTGAAAGCAAACAAAACCTCTCAACGAAAACTTAGGGCCTAAATTTAAAAAGTCATATATTTATCCAGTCTAACTGGGGTGGATAAACAGGGCCCTAGTCTTTGCCGGTTGGAAGTGTTGCTGGCAGGAGAGCACCAAGCTCAGTTTGGAAACATTGCCTTTATTACAAATTCCTCAGTCGCCTGGGGCAGTCTGTCAGGTATGTTATAGAGAACAAAAACAGAAATAGATCTGTCACCACAGGATCATTTTCAGTAAATATTAGAGCCGGGGAAGGTGGCAGATCAGCAGACCCAGAGAACAGGGTCCCCTGTTGTCGGCAGCACAGGAGTGATGTTGGCAGCAGTGTGGCTGCTGCCATGGGCCTCTGCTAACAGGTTGCAATGGTGGGTGGTGTAAAAGAAGTTCAGTCCTCATCCTCCAGGCAGTCCTTGGGCAGTTCTGGCTTTCTTCAGATTAAACTCAGACACCCTTCCACCAGAAAGCACAAACATTTTCAAGAAGGTTTTCACTGAAAAGCAGGTGGAGGTGGTCTTCTCTGCAAGTCAACTGAAAGGGGGAAAAATATCTGGCAGGTTCCCCTTGGACAATATGTGAAAGAAGCCCAACTTTGAAGTCTCTGAACACATACACCCGAGCTCACATCTGCCTTGATGCAATAGTTGGCTTTGGACTTGACCCTGGGGAGGGGAAACATCTCCAAGTGATGCAGGGTTGGAGTGATGAGAAAACACTGAGAACTATTCTGTGATTCTATGATTCTAGGCAAGAAGGTTGCAGGACCCCACACAGTGGTCCAGAGGGTGAATAAGCAGAAGAGGGATCTTAGACCATTTCTAGAGGAGTTGCAAGGGCGACACATTCCTCCTCCAGCACTTTCTACACCTTGTGCTTGCACAAGAGCAGATGAATTCACGTGACAGAAGTACATGGACTTCCTTGAGCCACATTCCAAATAACATCCAGCTCAAAAAAGAAGAATACAAAGCCTGGACTAAATCTCAGTGTATTCCTCTGCTCTCGCGATACAGATCCAAGAAAAGCAGAGACCCACAAGAGTCACCTCTGCTTTCCACATGTTCCATAATTGCCTGCATGCCCAGAGGGGTTAGTACAAGGACACAGCATGAGCTCCCAACCGCTGCTGCACAACAGTGTAAGTCACGGTTCATCCTCAATGACCTGCTCATCGGCTTGGATCGCCTGTGTCCCAGACAGAATGAGAAACAGGACACTATTACAGCCATTTCATATTCCCTGCCAACATCTAAGGCCCCTGTGAACATTTGCAGAACAAAACACAGACTGGGAGGAGTCAGTCAGGAGTTCCAACAGCTCAGTGAAACCTTTTTGAGTCAGGGTAGGACTGCCAGTTCAGGTCCTGGGGCACAAGATTGCAGAACTGAGCAAGGCTACAAACACAGGATGGAAATATTTCCCGTCTGCAACTCCTACATAGCAAAGCGAAGGTCCTCCAAGAGAAAGAAAGGACAAGGGGAAAAGGAGGAATGGGATTATGTGGGTTTACCACCAGGGCATACTGAAGCTACACTGCATCCAAGCAATGACCTTCAGGGAGGGATGGAGCAGTCCCAAGCCAGGAGCAATGGAGCAACCACAGCTGGGAAGGAGGCGGCGGCCAGATTGGCTCTTGTTTTATTGATTGTGTTTGCTATAAAAAGTCAAGGTTATTTTTGACTTGACACTCAAAGCCATGTGGGCAGCATTCTAGAAGAGACAGAAAAAGATCCAAGCTTGTTCCCAGCAACATGCTTAGGCATGAATTTCTGATGACTCAGCTCTGGGGTATGGGGGTCTTGGGGGCCTCCCCATGGCCAAGCCCCCCTAGAAGTGACATTACACTGGATTTTAAATACAACTCCACAACCTGTATTCCAGCCTCCCAAACAAAGCCCATGAGCTTCCTGAGCCAGATATGCTTTGGTACATTTAACACAGACATACAATACAATACCCATAAAGTGAGAGGTGAGAAGCAGCAGTGGAAATACACGCACACACTTACATATAGGATAATCCCCCAGCCCAGCAGCTGCTTTACATAGAGTGCAATGCAGGGAAATAACATCTTCAAGAAGGTGCACAGGTCAGCAAGGACTTTGAGTCCTTTAAGCTACACAAACACTTCCTTTCTCAGGCATTTCCAGAAATGGCTTTTCCCCATTTTTCTCTGATTTTTTTCAACTTAGCAGGAGCTGCACCCTTGCTCCTAGAAGTGACAAATCGGTCTTGGTTTACAGGTACCTCAAAGACACACCAGGAAAACCATTTTCTTGGGTTCCCTATTGCTTTGGAAAGAATAGTGTAATTTTGCACTGGCTGGGTTCACCTGAACCCACTTAAAAAAACAAAACAGAAATGCATCTTATTCTGAAAGCTCAAGGAGTCAAGCTGTGATTGCAAAATTGGCAGTGGTTGCACAGGAAAGCAAAGCAACCAAGTAGAGAAACTCCACCCCTGAAACTTAAGTCCCTCTCATGTCCTTCAGTATCTCAACTAGCTCCCTCTCTTTTCCTTCCAGGGTTTTGCTTGCCCTAGAGATCTTATATCATCCCACTTGCTGCCGCTGACTGAGACCTTCCCTCCTCCTCTGCCTCGGTTCATTAACCCGGCAGGAACGTGGGTGCTGGGTTCACACCAAATAGAGCTGTGACAGCTCCCAGCCTCACCCTGGTCTCAATCAAGTACTGAGGTATGAATTACAGTCAGTAGATTACAGTTTATTCCTCCCTGAAAACATCTCTTAGTACATATTCCTGTAGCATTCCTTGGTTATTACTAAGGCAAACTGTTCTTCTGCAAGACCCAATAGCTCCAAGAGCAATACCATACTTCACAAATCCTGAAGAGCTCACCACATGCATATCCACCTAGACTCATATCCAACTTCTAATCGAGACCATATGAGACACATTGCTAACACAGATGGGGTAGCTCACTTATTTTTTGGGTGGAGGATGGAGAGTAGGTCATGTTTGTTTAAATACTCATTTCCTTCTCATAATTCTTGTATGTTTGGAGGGTCCTGCCAGTCCAGGTCTCCTTGCTTGCGCTGCAGAGCTGAATTATACCATGCCTTCTATGGACAATCAAATTCCACCTTGGGAGTAGGTAAGGCTTCGCTCTCCCAACTCAGACTGAAACGCTCCACTTACATTTCTTACCCAAATGTACTCACTAGCATTTTACATCCATTTTCTCTTATGTCAAAACTGTCTTTGCTTAAGCAGCTCTTTTTCTCTCCCAGCACGTCTTCCTCCCTCCTTTGCAAGCAGGAATCAGTCCCACCCAACTATCATTTATAAGCTACACGATGCCAACTCTTCTAAGGCAACGCATCTGTACCAGTGAAGAGCAAGGCAAATTGTCTCAAGTGCCCTGAAGTGATACTAACTCAAGCTCCAGAAGTGATGCAGATATATTGCTCAGGCAGAGTCCTGGCAGTGAGGTTATTTTGCTTCTGCTTCAGATCCAGACACTTACACTTGGTGATCTATGTAAGAAGGACTACTGTGACAGACACATAGAAAATGGCTCTCTATTTTCTTCATCAGCCTATTTAAGTCCCTTTTTCTTGAGTAAGGGTGACCAAAAACACAGCAGTCTCCAGGAGGTCTCACTTGTATAACAGCATGAGCAGCTCCCCAGTTACACTGGAAACACCATGACTTGCAGCCTGAGATCACATTGGCCTTTATCACAGCCCCATCAGCCTGGAGGTTTGTTTTACTCCTTTATTAAGCACTGCATCAAGCATTTCTATCCACCAGGTCATTTCCAATGGACATGATTTCCTAGCTGGCAGCAAAACCCCATTACACCCACGTTTACATTCACCCCACCTGGCGTTACAGACTGTCTCTTGGTTTTGTTACTGTAGCTCTTCCCACTGGCTGTCCTCAGCCCAACTTGTGTTCCCGCAGCTCCAGCAGCAAAGCCCATGAACATGCTGCTGCCTTTTGTGTCAGTGTCGTCAAGAAAACCATGAGCCAGCATCACCTCCAAGGAACCTCAGTATTTACCTCATCTTTCAACACCTCCCACCATATCACTGCCCCACTTCACCTGCAACACCTGGGCTATACTGTGTCTTCTCCAGAGAAACAACCCACTTCTGAGGTAATACAGCATCAAATTAACCTCTCATCACAGAGTCCTCTCTTTGCTGAGGAAATCAGCTGCCTTTCCAGAGGAAGGCGTGGGATTAGCCTGACAAAAGTTAACCTAAGGAGGCCAACCCTGCATCACATCTCAGCCTCCATGTACCCACAGCCTTGCCTTTACAACTTGTTGAAGGCCTTGTAGACCACTACAGTCAGACCAATGGTCAAACCCGGGCTTGTGTGCTGTGTCCCAGTTAGCAGCAAACCTGTGAAGTGCGAAGCCCTGTTTGCCAGCTCAGCAGCTTGCAAGCTCCATGTCTCACACAGATCTCAGAGCATCATGTGAAGCCAGCAAGGCAGCAGGTGTCTTTGCCCCTGCATCACACAGACAGAAAATCAGTATTCTTGCTGACCATAAGATCATCAGGTCACAGGGTTTAGGTTTCAACTGGTCTCCAGAAGCACCAGGACCTTGCCCTGCTTGCTGCAAGGGGACTGGTAGCCACCAAACATGGAACAGTGATTCTTTTCATTCCCAGAAGGATACCATGCAAGGTGGTGTCTGACAACACAGGCTAGTGTCATCTTCTTGAGACCACACATCA